TGTGTGTGTGTGTGTGTGTGTGTGTGTGTGTGTGTGTGTGTGTGTGTGTGTGTGTGTGTGTGTGTGTGTGTGTGTGTGTGTGTTTGTTTGTCTGAGTGTGTGAGTGTGTGAGGTCTCTTTTGCGCATGCACTGTGTAGGACAACACAGTGCATGCGCAAAAGAACAGTTAATGTTTGATTTTGATTTCGTTTTGTAATTTATAATTACGAATGATTTATTATATTAACTAAATATTATACTACTAATCAAAATAATACTTTGAAATGATAACTGTGATAACACAATATTATTACTTAATGAAAATATGAGTCACCATCCTGTTTTTTCACTTTACATGAATTTTTTTTTTGGGTCAACCAAACAAAGACGGACAAGCGATTGATGCTCTTTTCGGGATTTGCTGCCCTTTTGGTCCCGACACTTTTAAACGCGGACCTGGTGTCCATTTGTTAGTGGGTTAATGGCATTAACTGAAGATGGTGGTGGTTATGGTTTGGAATACATGACTCAGACATCGTTTGAATTTTACTGCGCCTCGTTGAAACATAATGTTTTTTGTAGTTAAGTAATGTTACTGGTATTAATGACTACATTTATGAACATAGTTCAAGTTTGAAAGTCTCTGATTTCTAGGACATCACTTTTCAAGATTCTTAGCTGTTACTCGTTTAGTGATAACTTCCTAAAAGATAAGCTTCTTTTTACAACGTCTGAAACTTGTACGTTTTGGTAAAAGTGCTAACACTTTAAGGAGACGACTGGACATTTTTTGTTATTTGTCTTTGACATCTCTTACGAAACTTCTCTCTCTTTTTTATTTTCTTTCTTCTTTAAATTTTCTCTGTAATCTGGTTATTCTCGCATAAAGTATTGCTTTACGTTTTTGTTACTCTCGCCTTCTTTGTGCAGTCACATTTCTGCGCTTGACATTATTTTAAATAACAGCTTCAAAAAAATGGCTCTGAGCTAGGGCGATTGTGTTTCATCTAAAATTCTTGCTATATTCTGACTTGAAATTTCTTGGCTGTTTTAAATTTTTAATTTTTTCCTTTTACCCTTCTATGTCTTGAAGAAATGATAGAAATTAATGCCCCTTCTTTTCCGCGAAGACTGTCTAAACTTTTGTTTGTCCTCGCGTTGTATCACATACTTTTTTTTAAATTTTGCTTCTGTTTCGGTCAATTTCTTCTTTCTTGGCATTATTTAGTTACATTGCATTATTTACTTAATTTGTAGTAATAATGATTTTAGATAAAGTTCTAAAATGATAAAATCATTATTACTACGACTGTATAATTATTAATAAATAAAATTACTTTTTTTTTATATCTTATAATAGTATAAAATGACATCCAAAAATGTAACTTTAAGAATTTTAAATGAAATCTTTTCGCAGTAGAAAGTTTTTATACACCCGAGGTGAATTTCGTTAATTTGAAATATTTACAGTGCTTTCAACTTTCAATAACTTGATAATGCATTCATCGAAGACTAAAAATGCGTTCACAATTGTAGTGCAAGTAAAAGTGTGAGGAAATGGTTTGTTTTTTAGTTGGAATATGGATCTTATTTTGTTTTCACTAATTTCTCGTGTATTTACGACAGATTGTTCAAAATGTAAAGGTTATTTTTAACCGACTTCAAAAAAGGAGGAGGTTCTCAATTCGACTGTATGTTTTTTTGTATGTATGTTACGCGATAACTCCGGTATTTGTGAACCGATTTTCATGATTCCTTTTTGTTGGAAAGGGGGTACTTCCATAGTGGTCCCATTTCATTTTGAAGAAAATCATCCACCTCGAAGGGTGGCTGTCCACGCATGAAGATTCACTTTTATAAATAGCGTCTAACTTTAATTTAGGAGCAATTACTTTAATGGTTGATTTTGCTATTTCTTCCATTCAAGGCGTTTTTCTCTCAAAATACTTTGAGTAGTGTCGTAGTGAGAACCTATTTTTATTATCTCCAGCGTCAAGTCCTGTATAGTGGCGAACTATGGGATATTTCAATAAAACTTAGCAAATAGACGTAATTCTACGTACTTTTGAGGTCGGTTTTTTTAGTACTCTGTACTGAGATTATTGTTAAATGTGTTGTTTTAAAGTTCAGAACATGTTTGATTATGGAACTTGAGACTTTTATTTATATACAATAATCAATAATTTGTCTAGGCACTAGTAGCTACTGAAGTACATTTTGCTATTACATAATAGTTTTATCGCAAGAATAAATTTTTTAATAAACCTAAAGAACAAGAAATTTCGAGAATTTGTAAGAATCCTTTTACAATGTGTTATCGTTATACACGGGTGAGCGAGATCTTCTGAAGTATCTTCTTATTTCTTTACTTTGCAGCGACAATCCATACTAATATTAAAAATACGAAAGTAACCCTGACTGTTTTTGCATTTTCTTCACACCTAAACCGCTGAATCAATATTGCTGAATTTTGGTGTAGAGATAGATGGAACCTAGAAGAAGTACATAGGCTATTTTTTGTCATAAAAAATAATCCTAAAGGGGGTGAAATATGGGTTTTGGATGGAGTTTATTATAAACGCATCTGGGACTTGAACATGTAGCTTGAAAGTCAGTTAAAGTCTGAGTTTTTTTTATAATATCAAGTGACGGGACGATCTAGTGGCTTGGTGGTAAGCTACAAGTCTGTCCATTACAGTTGCAATGCCACTCAGAGCTTTAAATCGCAAAGATCTGAGTGGCACTGCCACTGCACCCTTCACCCTGAGATAACTTGACAAGTCCCATGTGCCTGTGATTTCACCAGCACCCTTACCCTTCGGAAACCGAGAGTTGTTGAAAATACTCCTGATTTCCGGGTTTTAAGTTTTGTAGTTCATAATATAAAATAATAATAATAATTTGTCAGACAATCACTCCATTAATCTGGTTTCAAACTAGAGAATTCCCTGTAGGTACTATGAGTACCAGAACAATGGAATTAATGCCGGGGCACTACCTAAAATACACGGTCCGGGACTAATTAGAAAAGTACGTTTCTCAAATTGGTCCTACCGGGAATCGAACCCTGACTTTCTCATCCAGCGTTCACAGTGCAAACCGAGGTCATGAAATGGGAGACTGGCTTACACGTTACGCAGTAAGAGATTAAGGCGTATTATTTTTCAAAGCAAAGGAGTTGTATTGAAACACCAACTAAGATATATATTTTTTTTACATTTTGAAGGACGAAATTATTTTGCTTGTTTGTACACATCTTTTTTACAGTCTGTTGTGGTGGCTTATTAATTCTTATTAATAAAAACAAATAAAGTTCCTATCTGTTTGAAGTTATAGTCTCATAGATTTCAAATTTGACCTGGATGTTATGTGGCCAGACACGAAAAATTATTTCTAAATTGCAAAGAATAAAAAAGAAGTACAAATTTGAAAATATATGACCATTTACTCTAGAAGGATTATAGTTTCCAATTACGTATTACAGCTCATGAAACGAAATCAAGAAATATTCGAATGGAACCAATTCAAGGCGGATCGGGAGGTGCAAAGGGAATATGCGAAGAAGATGACCCATTCGGCCATCATTGTTCAAGCTTGGTGGCGCGGAATATTGTGCCGACAACATTTAGGGCCGTATCGACCAAAATCACATCGTGGAAGGAGATAAGTTGAACAGTTATATAAACGAATGAGCTTTTGGCTTGCAAAAGGTCACAGATGGTATCGGTGGTGGGAAGTGCAATGTTTCCTTCTTGCTCTGTTCCACAGACATCAACCCTTTTGGTGGTCTTTCTTTGTTTATGTGACAAATGACAAGGACAGGATAATTTTGCTCGTTATTTGTGCAGTCCGATGACTTAATATTCCTTAAATTCTAAAATTTGTTGCGCTATTTCCAACGGCCATATAATGTAGGATTTGCGGTACCACATCCGAGCACCGAAGTAACGTCAGACGCTGTCAGTGCTTGTATGGGTGACCGCTCGTGTACACAACACGCCGTCGCCTATTTGTTACTGATTAGTTAATATTTCTAATAATAAAAAAAATTAACCACCACGTCCCCTAAAAACAGGTTTTCATGAAGTAATATACGTTAATTTGACAAATCTGGAGCCTAGTTTTTTGACCGATAAGTGTACCATAGTCCCTGCCATGAGATTTGTTCGTAACTATTTTAAAGTGTAAGAGTTCAAGCAATTACTGGCGTAAAAATCTCATACGGTGGATGAATGTGCGGCAAATGAATAAGAATTTAAAAATAACTTAAATAATTTTGTACCAAATAAAAATGGAAGTGAATTAATAGGAACGCACCGCGATAAAAAGATTTTCCTTCTCACCACTGCCTTTACCATCGTAATCTTGTCTTCGCGGAACTGTCCCGTATGTTGCAAAAATATTCTTATGAAATCGAAGCCAAGGCTTAGCAGGATTATGAGTACTGCAGTGGGATTAAACTTTACAAAACTTCACAGAACCATAGACGCCTAGAGTGTTAACTGCACTTATGTTGACTAGCAAAACACATAAAGATTTTTTAATAATTCTTATATTTTTTTAATATAATTTATTATTTTATTTTACTTTGATAATGTTATTATATTTTGCATATTTTTTTATTATGTTGAATATTGTTTTAAGTATTAAATGCGAACATCGAAAAATTTGATTATTTAATTATTACCTACTTACGATTTTAAAGCTCAAATTCGTGACGTTCTTGACAATCTCAGTAACTCAGCGGTTACCACTGTGGACGTAAATGAGGTTTCGATTCCCGGGAGGAGAAGAGAACATTCTACGTAATTCAGTCAAAAAAGGAATGGCATGGATTTTCTTAATACTCTTCTAATTGAAAAAAGGCAGTTAGCACGCAATATCGGTTTATAAATTACCTTAGAGACAACCGATATCTACTTTGAGAAGAAAAGTTTAAGGTCCTATGTTATTTTAACTTTATTATTGTTGGCCAGCGTAATAGTGAGTTTTTGATTTTCGTAAGATTCTCCAGTTAGAATTTATTCCGGGACTTTTAGTTGTGTATATTAGGAACTTAGCAATAATTCTTCAACAGATCAAGAATTTCTTTATTATTACTTACTTAAGTGCGGCCACTAGGCTTGGGCCAGTGTTAGTTTCGAAGAATGCAGTTAGTTAGTATTGATTAAAAACGCCGACCTTAAGGCAGCAGCAAAGTATTTATTTTTGAAAGAACCTCTTTGACAAGAATTATACATTTCTACGACAAAGAACTTAATTTCGTGTGTTAAACCATTCAGGTAACTTCAGTGGTATAATAAAATACCCTGGAGTCTTAATTTTATGGCTATTACAAAAGCACATTCTAACAATACATTAAAAAATTTGTTTGTGAGCGGAATGTGTCAAATAAAGTTCCTTCGAGATAACATTAGTACTAGACCCTGAGTCAATTTCCATTTTTAATGACGTTCATTGCCCACGCACCTCAGGTTGAGGTGCGTGTTAGTGGGGTAGGCCCTCCAGCCTGGTTAGTGGGGTAGGCCCTTTAGTCTGGAGGGAGAGTCCCCACATAACTCCTGAGTCTCCCTGGGCTCAGGGGTATCCATAAAGATTTCCCCCCGTCAAAAAAAAAAAAAAGGTTGAGGTGCGTGGGCAATCTCTATCTGACACTACTTGCACTCGCGGCAATCTATTGCCTCTTGTTACTCGTCCGAATTAGATTCTGTTTCTAAGTTGATATTTTTGACGCTTTTTATTTTAGCACTGCACATTTTCTTAAGATGGCCTTTTTCTTGGCACCTTTGGTAGCGGTAGTTTTTGTATCGGCATCTCTGAGCCTCGTGCCCCTCATGCCACATACTACGCATCGCTCTCTAAAATCTTCGTGGTACCGCACCAGTCTGGCCGGTGGTTGTCCACAGCAGTGGTTCTTCTTTTAAAACAGCGGCATTCACCAATGCACCCGGTGCAATCACAGGCTTTCGCGAATGTCAGTTTGTTTGCGTCCTGCTCGCACAATCTGTCTCGTACAGCTCCCATATTCAGCCCGAGTACAAATTTGTCCCGATACACCCCAGGAAGGCTCTGAAGGCGAAATGTACTGCTAAACCTCGTAATCGAACCGCCCAATTCTCGACAGTCTCCCACTCTACTTGAACAGAGTTGTAAAAGTTACCTAAGTCGGCAAATGTCGCCCACGTTGGAGTCAAGTGTTGGTTTAATAGTTCTAACAACTCATCAAATTTCGAAGTTGCCACCTCCTTCGGATGACTGAGATTTCGTAATAATAGATACACATCATTCGATAGATGAGTGATAAAAACAGCACGCTTTCTTTTCCTCGGTCTTGAATGTCATACGAAATATTTCGAATTCTTGATGTTTCGGGTTCAAAGGTGGTAGGGTTCCGATGCTCATCGTTGTCAGTTGATAGATATGGGGAATATATTATGTAATTTACAACTACGAATGAAACACACGAGTTTCAGGAACTGATTTTAATCTCAAAAATTCACACCAATACAAACGCACGTCATAGCAAAGGTTTTAAACCATACATACATCCAAGTCTTGGTAAATTTCTTTTGTTAACTTTAGAGTTTCAATTCCGGGTGTAAAGTTTCATTTCTGAGAATACACGTAAAATTCACGTTGACTAAAATGATACATGTCGAACTTCACAAACCAATTATGGGATACAATTATGAATTGCACTGGATTAAATTTTGCACGGCCCGGTGGTTAAGTTTGCCTTTCCAGCAGATATGTGCAAGGTAGTAGGCGGTGAGAGGATATAATATAGTAACGGCGCAGTGCGAGGTTGCGTTGGTATGGTATGCATGGGCGGGGTACGGTGTGGAGGGGTGAGCGGTGGCGATATGTCAGTGTCGGTTAGTGTCATACTTTCAGTACTCTAGTTTCCTACACCGTTTTGCACACATCCTCGCCCGCATCCCTCGTACACATCTTTCGCTATTTTGTATGTACAAGTACTTAGCTCCGCAAAACCTTTTCCACCGGACCTGCGCTAAGCGAGCCTGGGGAAATGAAGTAATTCTATTGGTGGATTTTTTCCTCGCACACCGCCTCGCTACGTCGCACATCTCTGGTGGAAAGTCAGCCTTAAACTGAGTCCAGGGGGTCTACTCCGGTTTTCCAGCCGACATCAATCTGTCCGAAACAATTACTGTCAAATAAGTGACACTCGTATGACGTATCGACAATTTCAAGTATGAGCTTCATTCGCATCATCAAGTTTTATTTATTTGACGGTAATTGTGTCGGACGGAGAACGGAAGTCGGAGCATGAACTAGAGTCTTTATTTTATAATATCAATTGACAGAGCAGTAAATCGCAAAGGTCTGAGGTCCACTACCACGGCGCCCATCACCCTGAGACATAAATTGACAAGTCAAATGTGCCTGTAATATCACCCAGCATCCTTACCTTTCAAAACCGGAACTTAGTTATGTTCGTATTACCTCTTGGCGGCAGAAACAGGTAAGATGGCAATATTTTCCTGCTGGACGAACGCTTTCGCACGGAGCTCTACTGTTACTAAAAATAACCTAGTCGTAACCTAACTCGAGTTCGAAAATTCTACTGAAAACTACTTCTACTCTACAAAGTCCTGAGTACGATAATGAGTCGTCTGAACAGAGTTCAAATTGGTTGAAGTTTCCTATACAAACTTTTGTACCCCTATCTAACCCTTATCTAACCACTCTATGGGTTGAATTTTGAAAGCTCCGTCATAAATGTGTACATAGAACTTGTTTTTTTCTTATCAGGTAACTTTTGCATTCAGCTTTTTATTTTTTTAATATTTTTTTTTCATTAAAACTTTTTAGTATTTATAGAGAGGTAACGAAATAGATTTATTTCGTTGCTGCTGTGATTGTGGACGATAGGGGTAAGGATTATATGACTGTTTAGTCCAATAAGGTACAAATATAGTTAGTTAAGCCATTATAAAAGACTGACTCATATAGTCGGCGGCATGAACTCATGGACCGAACCGAATGACACAAGAATGACATAAGGTTAACATAGAGAATTGATAACATACGGGTACTACAATATCAATTACATATAAATATAGGTAACAATCCATTAGTATGAGCATTAGGACCTATTTATCCTTTTGGTCCTACCAGTAGGAGCATAAGGACATATTAGTTCTCGTGCACCGTCCAGTAGGACCATGAGGAAACGGCTTCGAAATACAACATCCTACTTCTGGGGCAATCGGGCAAAAATCTCGTCAATCGCTTGATTTATTGTTGCGTGATTGAGTACCAACCAAACAAACGATACTTACTCGTATCGATTACTTGTATACATACTGAAAGAACTAATTAATTTCTTGTCATTGGATTCAACACGGACCGTCAAAAAACGCCGCTTCCACCGTGTTACATTGGCATACCGAGTATTTGGTACTTTGTCCAACGGGCTGGTATTCGCAACTCGACGACTATTTTGCGTGTGGTGGGTGCTGGGTCCTACTCGTGCCACCCAAGCTCCTCCAGGAATTTCAGCAGCCTCCTTGGTTTGCTGACGACTTCGGGGAGCGACCTTGGCACTCCAAGGTACTTCGCCCTGTAGTTGACCACGTCGGAGCACTGTAGTAGGATGTGCGCAGCCGTTTCCTCCCCCTCCATACACGCTATGCATAGAGGGTTGTCTGTGTTACATAAATTGAAAAGGTGTTTATTGTATGGACCATGACCCGTTAGGGCGGCAGTTAGAGTGCGAAGCTCTTGCCTTTTAAGTTTAATTAGTATTCGCGATAGACTGGCATTGAGCGTTGGGAGTGCTTACCTCGCCTGTCTACAAACCATAAGGGTGGTCCATGTATTATTATGTGAAGATTTTGTACCTTTGTGTGTAGTTGTTCCGGACCATTGGTAGGGGAGGGACAAAATGGGTTCTGGACCTACAGCGTCCGTCTCCGACCCTTTTCTGGCTAGTTCATCTGCTGCGTCGTTGCCACGTGAGCCGCTGTGTCCTTTAATCCACTGTAGAGTTACATGGTTTTGTATACATACCTCCATGAGTGCTTGATGGCATTCGTAAATAAGCCCTGAGTTTATGTCATAGTTTACCGAGTATTTTCATTGATTTCACCGAGACCTACTTCTTTATACTTGGTTTTAAAGTATCGCTTGGTATAGGAAGGCAAGTATCGAGTATACGTAGTACTTTTGACCGATACCTGCTTAATACGTGACTAAAAAGTACCGTTACCGAAAGCACTTGGTATCGGAAGGAAGGTATCGAGTAAGTACTTGTATTTACTCGTATCGCTTCATCCCTAATTCTGTGATGCTACGGCCACAGAGATGATAATAAACTTGGCAGAATTGTGGCCCTGGGTTGAATGCAATAACAGTCAGGATGCACTGGTATCGCCAATACTAAATGAGAAAAACCGCTCTTTTTCGCTTCAAAACCAACAACCAGTGTTGGCAAACATTCGCGATGCCCAGC